TTATACTTGTGTTTCAGTTCAGTTGAAGTCACCCTGCCCCCATCTTGCTTAGTCTAACATCTGGTAAAATGCTCTTGTAATTTACTGTGAAGATTAAACCTGTGTCCTCTCATCTAAACCGACCCTGTGTCAAACAATGATTAAAACGAGTATCAGTATCTTACCTGCTACCTGGCTTGATTTGATTGCTTGTAATATATCAAATGTGAACTTGTAAAATTATCATTAGCTGATATAAGATTATATGTAAAGGTAAAACAGTTAGAATTAGTAAACATTTTTTATAAATATAGTTCAACCCTTGAAGAAAGACACGCACACACTTTGTATAACATGACATTTGAATGCTTGATAGGAAATATAAAAAGGTATAAAAATATGAAATCCAACACAACCAAAACCAGCTGATCACATGCTCAAGAAGGACCATCAGCCTAACAATGGATCATTAGCACACTGATGGCTGTTTACTATTAACAGAGGGCTGAGTGATACTAGCAATCACAGCATTGTAAGAGGGGGACAATTGAACACGTAGGCCTCCACCCCCGTTTAACGATGGACGGTTTCTTTTCACAAAGATGGCCTCCTTTACTCCTCTCTCAAACCATCGTTCCTCTCTATCCAGGATGTGCACATCTTCATCCCTGAAAGAGTGACCGCTGGCCTGGAGATGAGTGTAGACCGCAGAGTCCTGGCCTGATGATGTTGATCTTCTGTGCTGGGCAATCCTTTTGGCCAGTGGCTGTTTTGTTTCCCCGATGTAAGACTGATCACAGCCCTCCTGACACTGAACAGCATACACAACATTACTCTGTTTGTGCCGGGGGACTGGATCTTTGGGATGAACCAGTCTTTGCCGTAATGTATTTTGGGGTTTAAAAGCCACTGGGACGTTATGTTTAGAAAATAAACGTCTCAGTTTCTCTGATACTCTCTCAACATATGGAATGACCACTGGTCTGGGTCTGGGTTCCTCCTTTTCACCTGTTGGCTGACTGGAGTCCTGTTTGGGTTTCTTCTCTGCTTTTAGGAAGGCCCAGTTAGGATATCCACATTGCTCTAGAGCCTGTCTTGTGTGGGATTTCTCCTTCTGCCTGGCTCCTGAGCTAGTGAGGACGCTGTCTGCTCTGTGATACAGAGTCCTGATGACTCCTAACTTGTGCTCCAAAGGGTGATGGGAGTCAAACTGCAAATATTGGTCTGTGTGGGTGGGTTTGCGGTACACCTCAGTTTGCAAATGTCCTCTATCAGAGACTGAGACCTCACAGTCCAAGAAAGCCAACTTGCCATTTTTTTCCTCTTCTCGTGTGAATTTGATGTATTTATCCACAGAGTTGATGTGGTCAGTAAAATGTTGTACTTTCTGAGATTTAATTTTAACCCAGGTATCGTCAACATACCTGAACCAATGACTTGGTGGTGTCCCTGAAAAGGATGTCAAGGCTCTCTTTTCTACCTCCTCCATGTACAGGTTGGCAACAAT